AATGAAGCTGGCCATGTACATTCAGACATGTTCTTTTGACTTTGAAACTTTTGCATAGTTTACATGTTAAATTAAACTTTGTGATAAGGTCAGTTTAAGCCGGTGGAAACACTTATGAGAAGTAAATAATATTTGGTATGCAGTTGTATTAGCATTGTGCATTGACTTTGAATATTTTGTAAATTTTACATGTTCAAATATTGCAATTCTGATTTCAACATTTCACTATCAAAATGACAGTTGTATTCCATTCGTTTGATGTTTTTGAGCTTTTGATTTTGAAATTTTATGAAGGACTTTACGTTTTGAAGTTTCCTTGGAGTTTTGTATTATTTCACTTTTTTCGAATCAGCTTTTAAAAATATTATTATATATATATCTTGAAAACTATTACAGAGAGAAACTTTAAATAGCAAAAATGATCAAAAGATCTACAAATAAGTCAACATGGCCGAAATCCTCAGTGGACATCTTAATACAGTTCTTCCTCTTTAATGACGATTTTTACCAATATTTTGCTTTTATATATAAAACTAAGAAGATGTGGTATGATTGCCAATGAGACAACTCTCCACAAGAGACCAAAATGACACAGAAATTAACAGCTATAGGTCCTCGTTCGGCCTTCAACAATGAGCAAAGTCCATACCGCATAGTCAGCTATAAAAGTTCCGGAAATGACAAACGTAAAACTATTCAAACGAGAAAGCTAACGGCCTGCTTTATGTACAAAATAATGAACGAAAAACAAATATGATATACAGCAACTAATGACAACCACTAAATTACAGGCTTCTGGCTTGGGACAGGCACATACACAATGTGGCGGGGTTAAACATGTTAGCGGGTGCCCAACCCTCCCCTAACCTGGGACAGTGGTGTAACAGTATAACATATGAACAAACTATAACAATCAGTTGAAAAGGGCGTATGCATATTATCTTGAAAACTATGAAAAATAGATATACACATTTAAACATACGCAATACAAGATCTACAAATGAGTCATTTTGCCGAAATCTTTAGTAGACTCTTTATAGGAATGAGTGCCCTTTAATGACCATTCGTTTGCCCTTTTTTTAGTATTTTGGACAAAAACTAAAGAAGATAGAAACTGTTAACAAACAAAAAAATAGCTCATGATATTGTAAGAACCTGAAAAGTCCACATATGGAGCTATGCCACTTCGAATTAAGTAGAGATTGGGTACTCGTATTGTTATGAATTATATTTTGTGGCCAAACTAGATAATTATCTGTCCAAATTCCATTTCATAAAAGAGCTTAAATCATTAACTGGTACCAAGACATTTTAACTGTAAATAATCAATATTTCTCTAATAAAACGATAGACTTTAACCCAAGTGAATTGACTTTGAATACTAGAAAATATTTTATAAACAGAAACAATTGTCATTTTCAAGATTTCAGATTCACACGGGAAAGTTATGAACAATATTTTTCTTCATCCTGTCGATACTTATATTTTTGCAGTGCACATTGTTCTAATTTGCTCAAACTGTTTATAATTTGTTTGACAATTAATCCGTTTGATATGTACTTAATTGATATCTAAGTCTGAGAAAAAACATAGTTTATTTATTTAGTGCTGAAATTAGCCTTGAACTAACTTCCAGTAACTGCGAGTGTTCTTAAATGAGTATCTTATCTTGTGTTTTTGTGTTTTTATTGGGTTTTGGTGTGCTCCGTTCTGATAAGGCAAGCTTTTTCAAAGAAGAGACAGAGGACACCAAAGGGCAATACACGTAGCACGTCGAAAAATCGACAATACCATGGAAGAAAAGGAAAAACGACGAACAGACAAATAACTACATTGAAAATTAAATACTGTAAACCAAACTTATTTTCGCGGATACTTTATTTCGCGTTTATCCCTTTCTAGACCACTTCGCGGCGATTTAATTTCGCGATTTTCAAATTTACTTGATGTATTTTAATCAGGGTAGATCCAAGTTTTTCATATTCGCGACGATTTATATTCGCGTTATTTTTCTACTCGCGAAAGTCGCGAAAATAAATCGTTCGCAAAAATTAGTTGGTTTACAGTAGCAAGAACCTCACAATCGGAGTTATCTTAGGTGCGCCAGGTGGGTACGTAGATACTGCTCCATATGTGCCAACTGCTTTTGGCAAATAAAAATGCAACTTATCTTAACAGTTTGTTCTTGTGTTGTGCTGTGATACATGTACCACTGTTCCTTGTTAGGAGGAGGGTTGATCATTCACAACCATACTTAAAGCTCGCCACATTCTTTATGTACTTGTGACTAGGTCAGGAGCCTACAATTCAGTGGTTGGCAGTGGTTGATGTCTGCCACATTTGTTTTTGATCATAAATGTAGTGATTTGTCTTTTCGTCGTTTTTCCTTTTCTTCCATGGTATTGTCGATTTTTCGACGTGCTATGTGTATTGCCTTTTGGTGTCTTCTGTCTCTTCTTTGAATTGTTTCACATTTTTAAATGCCAATATTTATACAAAAGTATAAGAAGATGTGGAATGATTGCTAATGAGACAACTCTCCACTGAAGACCAAATGACATGGAAATTAACAACTATAGGTCACTGTATACGGCCTACAACAATAAGCATAACCCATACCGCACAGTCAGCTATAAAAGGCCCCGAAATGACAAATGTAAAACAACTTAAATGAGAAAACTAACGGCCTGATTAATGTAAAAGATCATGAACGAAAAACAAATATGATATATATAGATTCTACCACTGTATCGAGTGTGATACGATATTTATCCACTCGAGACAGTTAAATTTTCAAATTTAAAACGCGAGGCTAGCCGAGCGTTTTAAATATTTAAAATTTAACTGTCGAGAGTGGATAAATATCGTATTACACGAGATTTGGTGGTGGAATCTGTTTCTCTAATGATTTTCAAACAATACGCAGGCAAATTTATTCCTTCTTTTCGAATGATCTGCAAAAAGATGTGCTCTTTCTATGTGACGTCATCAGGCATGGTCGCCTTTTTTCATGCCGTCACAATAGGAAATTCAGAAGAAAGCAAGAAAATTCGACGTCATAATCGGATGTTAACCAATGATGAACTGAGATCAAACGAACCAAACGTTGATTAAATTTTTTTTATACAATGGGTGCAGAAAGGGATAAATTGACGAAGAATTAGAGAAATATAGATTCTACCATTGCATCGAGTGTGATACGATATTTATCCACTCGAGACAGTTAAATTTTCAAACTTAAAACGCGAGGCTCGCCGAGCGTTTTAAATATTTAAAATTTAACTGTCGAGAGTGGATAAATATCGTATTACACGAGATTTGGTGGTGGAATCTGTTTCTCTAATGATTTTCAAACAATACGCAGGCAAATTTATTCCTTCTTTTCGAATGATCTGCAAAAAAATGTGTTCTTTCTATGTGACGTCATCAGGCATGGTCGCCTTTTTTCATGCCGTCACAATAGGAAATTCAGAGGAAAGCAAGAAAATTCGACGTCATAATCGGATTTTAACCAATAAAGAACTGAGATCAAACGAACCACACGTTGATTAAATTTTTTTTATACAATGGGTGCAGAAAGGGATAAATTGACGAAGAATTAGAGAAACAGCATTAAACGACAACCATTAAATTACAGGCTCCCGACTTGGAACAGGCACACACGGAATGTGGCGGGGTTAAACTAGTTAGATGGCGCTATACCCTCCTCCTAACTTGGTCAAGTGGTGTAACAATGCCTTTTTTACTGTACTGGTTAATATCTCAGTCTGGGAAAACAGAGTTAAATTATTAATACAAATTGGACTGAACTGTGTTTCAGTAACAGAGAGAACTCTCATATATTTTGTCTTTTCATGGTTGTTTTTGGTGAGTAACCATCGATACCAAGTCTTTTCCGACTTTTTTGCGGTATGGACTTTGCTCATTATAACCGAAGATTTTTCAAGTTTGTCTATAAAATAAGATAAGATATTTTTATTCCAATTAAAGGACCAACGAAGAGCAAAGTAATTTATTACAATGATTTTGATAATTGACACAATACTTTTGACAATCATATATAAATATGAATATAATCATCTCAATTCTAAGACCTTTAACCACAGCCAGACCAGATCCATACGCATATACGTAAAAAAAAAGCATAACAGTTATATATAATATATGTCTATATGTTGTGCCGTTACACTACCGTCCACAGGGGGGTTCCGGGGGGGTTTGAACGATCACAAACATATTGAAACCCGCCACATTCTGAATGTGCCGGCCCCAAATCCGGAGCATTTAATCGAGTGTTTGTCATTTGTTGTTGTCTGCCAAAATTGTTTTCCGTTTATTGTTTTATTATGAATATATTTTGGATTGTTTTTTCATTTGTTATCCCGGAAATTTTTAAACTGTTAAACTGACTATACGCTATGAGCTTTGCTCGTTGTTGAAGGCCGTTCAGTGTCTGTAGTTGTTCCCATTCTTGTATATTGTTTGGTAGCTGTCATATCAAAAATCATTCCCTTTTTATATAAGTTTTCAAAGTATATTATCAAATTCGTACATATTACACTATTATTTGTTTAATTAGGTGAAAATAAATTTAAATAAATAAAAATATTAATGCATATTTGCTAGAAAAAAACCCACAACAAACAATATATATATAGAAAAAGTGGGTCCATCACCCAACCGCCTGTGAATATATACTTAGTTTGCTTCGTGTACAAAGTGCATTTTCCGAATTTTGTGCACCATGTTCGTTTTCTGAATTAAAACTCATGTTCAAAGTTCGAATAACCGATGATGAACTTGAGAACTTAATAACAAACACAATTTTAGCTTCGGTTGATAAATTATTATTTTCAAATCATAAACGGAAAAGGTACTTTTTAGTCTTGCATATATCCATGCCTCATTATTTGCGGTTTTCTGTTCTGAATATTCGATTGAATGAAATAATCATATGGTAAATGTGTAGTTGTTCACCTTTCCAAATATCTAAAACAAAATATGTCTGCATATTTATTAAAAAAAACTAGCATACATGTAAGTTATGTATATTTGAAAGACTCTGGTTTGTACAAAAGCTAACATCATCCCATAAAATATGTTTCATTCTATGGAAATTCGGGAGAGAAAAAAAGATATTTGACAAACTTTTGTTCAGAGAGTATGTGTGTTTGATGCCAGGTGTATATCGTCTGCATTGCTCTAAATCCAGCTATATTTGTGTTATTGTTATTAGGCACTGACTTTTTCTAAATTTTTGTCCGAACTGCGCGAAGATTGAAAGAGCTAAAGTCAATATTAATAACGCTTCATATACAATTTGGGCATATTCATCATTTGTTCTTTATTTCGAATTCAATCGAGAGAAAAAGATGTCATGCATATTCAGGAAAATATTAAGTTCGCGAATGAATCAGTCGGCAAGTGGAGTAATGTTATAACTTTTTACAGAACACTTTCTTAAATTCCCGCCGAAATATTTTACTACAAAACCCGTACACAAACGGATTTACTCCACTACTGATAAAGTGTGATAATATACCGATATTATATGCAACTTGAGTAGGTGAGTTAAGCGAAAGCAGAAACTCCGGAATGAATCTTTTGCAAATGAGCAACACAATAAACGGAAGAAAACTGAAAATTTGAACAATTGTTATCACAAACATAGCTATTGTCATTCGGCGTCTGCGCACCATGTTTCTGTTAGATCGTGTGGAACCATTACTTGACATACTTATTGAACCTAAGAACGATGATTTCCTAATAAAACGTTTACTTCGACTTTCCTGTGTATTTGTTCTTGGTCGCATGACCTCTGTATCTCCCTTTTCATTGTTATTGGCAGAAACAGGACAATTTTGTTTCCTACTTTTCTGATCTATGGAATTACTTCTCGAAATATCGGTCGAAAAATCGCAAGAATCGCTTTCATCTAAATTTGACCTGTGTCGTCTTCTGTCCAACGTATTCCTTCTTGTCTTCCCATTATCTTCTGTTTGTTTAAGAGAAAGTATACACGTCCCATCTAATGATCCATTCGTTGACTTATTTGCTGGGTCAAAGTTTAAAGTATTTTGAAAATTAGAAGCGGTTAATTCAGCACTTTCAGATCCGGACTGTCTCTTTGCAGTTGACATTGCTGATGACGTCAGATTCGGGAGTCGTAAAATTCTTAACCAAATCAAAGTGTAAAACAATACAAGCGATATCGTTATGCCGAAAAACAGAACAAATATAATCCCATAGTATATGACCGGATATGGCGTATTATCATAATCATTTAACGTTGAGCATTGCGTTTCTGCAATCACTTGCTTATCGGGACTTCTCATGCCAAATAAAATAAATGCTGGCCATGAAAATATCAATGCCAATACTACGGAAACCACGCATAACCGTCGTGCTTGTGAGGGTTGTATGCGCGTGCGTGTGTGCTTGCATATACTAATATACCTATCAATAGCAATAATGACAAGCATTCCTCCGGCAGCTAAAGATGTCACCGCACGTGACCCTCGCTCTAGTTTGCAAAGAATATCATTATCAATCAAAAGAGGTTGTCGTAGCATAACTATTTCTATCGGCATACAAATGCAGCACGTGAGCAAATCAAAAGTTGCAAGAAAACCGATGAAGTATTTGATTTTCCTTTCTTTCCATTTCCGGTAACAGACGTAACATACGAGAGAATTGCCAATCACACCGGAAGTCATGAGAACGGAGATATACGCAACAATGGGAGACAGGAGTCTGGCCACTTCTTCTTCCCTCTTAATCCAGTTAAAACCAGTTGTGTTGGTTGTTTCATTGCCACTGCTGGAATTCATTGTATCCATTTATATAAATCTAAAATAATGTAAAAGAAGTCTGTTAATCAAACGTTGATGAACAAGAAAATTGTTGCAATTACTAATGCATTCTGCAATATTTAAGTTCTAATGTGTAAATTCTAAGTGTCTAAGTGTTACAAATCTTGTTAGTCTTTGTATTCACAAGTCCTTCATATATATTGTGTTTCCTCTACTCTCATACAATGCTCATATTACACCAATTCGAGTGTCAACCATTAAAAATGATAAGGAAATAAAACGCTTTCATATCAGCAAATATTTGAATTCAAATACCAAAATTATTGTTATAGGTCAACCGGCGCAGAATCGAGGACAATCGTAGTAAAATCCAGGAACTCGAAAAGTAAATCAAAATATGAAAACGATTCAAATTGACAATTAATTACATTAATTTCTATCGCAAACTTCTGATTTTCAATTCTCCACCCCCTCATTATTAGGAGAATAATACTCAAAATCAAAGTAAATATAATAAATGAACATTAACATTATAGTACTTTCCTACCTATCAAGCAGCCATAGTCATACCATGCATACGGAAGTAGTATCCTTGCTGTCATAAGACGATCGATCTTATGTCAAGGAATTGGCACTAGTCTTACAAGAAAATTTATGACCTCGTATAAAGTAGTTGTAATTGACTTGTTTTAAACTAGCGTTTATCAAATTAACTATATCTTTATTCTCATAACCATTGCAGATCATATATTTATACGATGCGTTTTAATTGGAGAATGAAGTTGACAAAAAATTGATTTGCAGTTTGATTGCTGATAAAACAATAAAGAAAACAAATATGACAGTAAGCAACTAATGATAACCATGCACTATATTACAGGCTCTTGACTTTGGACAGGCAAATATAGAATGTGGCTGGGCATAACAAGTTTGCGCGCTCAATCGATCCTCGGTCGCCTTGCCGAAGATAGTGGTGTAACAACAGAAGAACAAACTGTAAAAATCAGCCAAGAAGGGATTTATTCATAGGATCGGCATAAAGCAGCAAAAACAAATAAACGATTAACAAAAAGACATAAAAAAGTGAGTTTTGCAAAAATAAAGTAATCTCGGAAAAGTCATTAGCAAAACTCACAAAGTTTCATCCGTGACCACACTACATCAAATACTCAGATGATTGCCAACCTGCATTTTTATGATAAGCCTTATCAATGGAGATTATTCATTATGATTGCAATTTGCCATCCAGAGTGAAAATTTAAAATAAAATGTTTCAAAATATGAAATTTAGAACGTAATAGAATCTCTTAATTCGGAATTTTTATCATATTGCCAGAAATATATGCAAAGCATAAGAAATCTTCAAAATCTATTATAATTGGTTAACTTCATAAACAGGACTAATTTTTTTTTAATTTTGATTAAATGAAAAATACACTCAGGTTACCGTAGTGCGTTTCTATTGGCACTCAGTATACGTCCAGTTATTTTTTAGTACGTATCCGAGTCAAATGAACTGTTTATTATTATCAGTTGTTGTTTGTTGTTGTTGAAATAAATCACAAAAAGATCAAAAACTGTTCAGACGGCAAACAAATGATAAAATGAATAAAGCACTTGAAACAATTTAACTGTTTCCGTATATATATTTTTCTTGTTCTAGAAATTAAACTTTTTTTTGAAAGTGCAAAACGTTTGAAATATGTTCATGTAGAGAACGTGCGTGTATTCATTGATGTTGCTTTTTACTGAACTTCAAAACATCACTTTAAAATGGTTGACATGTTTATCCCTTTAAGGGCATCCGATACAGTTTTGATCCCACGATGATTTTTTTACGAAACTTTGCATACAAGCTATTTCTCACTTAGATAATTCAAATATGTAATAAAACATATACCTGCATGTGCTAAATTTAGAGATAAATGGGGTCGAAATTTTAGACATTTACTTAAAATTTCGGTTTCTTAGACATTCCTATCCTTTGGACATTCCTATCCTTTGGACAGACATACTTAACTTTTTTTGTTTCAAAAGATAAATACATGCGGATTTTTGTAAAAAGATTTGGAATATCTGCGTTACAAAATTGTGCTCTTAATTTGTGTCGCAATTCTTTGAAAACAATTCATTTTTATTAAAATTTCATGATTTTGGTAAAAAACGGCAGTTTTTGCTGCACATTTATCTAATTTAAAAAACAATCATAGGTGATTTTTTCATAAAAAAATGGTACAAGTAATCACCAATACAGTATCAAGTCAAATGTTCTTTAAAAAAGAGGGGTTCATGTACTCGTTTTCAAGCTAATGATTAAAATCACTCGAAAATGCATCTTTTCACGATATGTCGCCGTTTGACGTCGCGAAAAGTAACATATAACGTTAACAACGTCATTTCCTCTCCTGTAACTGTATCGTATGCCCTTAATGCATGTTTAACGCACCCGCTAATGTGACACGTCGTGTATATGTTATTACAAAGGAAGTATTTGGCATGAACCTTCTTAATTGTTAAAAAAAATGAGATGGGAAATAATTGTGAAAGAGTTTTTGGCTGCTTCTAGGCAAGGATTATCATTTAAGGCTAGGTGGCAATTTGTGAGGGTCTGGATGGGGGTTCCTTCATTTCTGTATTTTTCTCTATTCTTTATATATATACTGCCTGTTATTCTCGATTCTTTATATTTAAGCACCCGATTATTCGCTATTCTTTGTGGTATTTTTTTTTGCCTATTTTTACTATTCTTTATATTTTTTGCCCTTTTTTCTGCATAATTTGCCCATTAATCTCTATTCTGTAAACCCAATCCAAGCCCTGATTTGTATCTTCAAAATCCCTCCCAAAGACAATTTCTTTTTAACTTAGAAGGTCTATATTTTCTGTATTTGGATTATTTATCAATATGCGTAAAGGATTTTTTAAACAGATTTAGTTATGCCAGAACGTTGGCAAATCCATCGGTTGCGTCAAATTGCATAAAAAGGGGTTCATCTTCTAGTAAATAATTTTTTGAATTATGATAATTATTTTTGAAAACTTATTTTTTTTATGAACAACATTCAAAATATAACATACTTATCTAGATTTATCACTGAAAATGTAAGGAGTCTACTTCACCATCTGTACTGGTCATTCCAGTACATACTAATTAAAGTATACAGTTTTATCATTCATACAATATCGGATATCAGTAGATTATTATTAAATTTCTTACCCTTTGATGCACGATACCATCTTGAATCATACCATTCAGAAACAATGTGTCATTTGATGGTAAAAAAATAATAATTTGGTAATTTAAAGTAGTCTGTGCTTATATCTTTGATGTCAGATACCATCTTTTTTCATACCATTCGGAAACAGTTCACATTCAGTGTCATTTGATGGCGAAGAAATAAATTAGGGAATTTGAAGAGTGTGGGCATATCTTGTTGTCGCTAAGCGGATCTCTCGACGTTAGTACTTCCTTTTTTCAAGGACAGTGGTTAACTTTTATTAATGGTACATATCATTACGCTTCACACAATAATGCATTGTACTTAATTGGCGGGAAAACACTTTTCATTTTAACAGTTCTATTTAATACTATTGTTTTGTATCTTGTTTTGTATTTTCTGTCTTTGATACGGAAATTCTTGCATACCGGTTTGTATTCCAATTTTTTTTCATACACCATTCAAATTTATTTCTTCCTATATTATGCATAAAATAATAATTAGGGAGATGAGATAAATTGGTGATTTGGTCCATTTGAAAAATGTCAATAATTAGAATGTCTGAAACTGCCAAACTGAAGTAAAGACCACCTTAACATAGAATTATTTATGGTTTGAGTTAGAGCTGGTAGACCTTTCTATAGTTCGATACAGCTTCACTGTTAAAATCTTACTGATAAAACGCAGGTGATATCTTTAAACTTGCCTTGATTGTTCATACAGGAACTTCTTAGGAAGAAAGATAAGAAGTTAGCATTATCCTTTAACTTTACGTTCCGGTATATAGATGATGTTCTTTCACTAAATAATACAAAATTTGGTGACTATGTTGAACGAATCTATCCCATCGAACTAGAGATAAAAGATACTACAGATACAGTTAAGTCTACCTCATATCTTGACTTACATCTTAAAATTGACAATTAGGGTCGGTTGAAAACAAAACTTTACGACAAAAGAGATGATTTCAGCTTCCCAATTGTGAACTTTCCATTTCTAAGTAGCAACATTTCAGCAGCGCCCACATACGGAGTATATATCTCCCAATTGATACGATATTCCCGGGTTTGTATTTCCTATCATGATTTCCTTGATAGAGGATTCCTGCTTACAAGGAAGCTATTAAACCAAGAGTTCCAAATGGTGAAGTTGAAATCATCCCTTCGTAAATTTTACGAACGCCATCACGAGTTGGTTGACCGTTATGGAATAACTGTTTCACAGATGATATCGGATATGTTCGTTATGTCGTAACTACAATACCCTTCCCTTTTCACGAATGTGGCCTACCGAATTAGACTATTTACCGGATTTGTAATAACATAAGCCACACGACGGGTGCCACATGTGAAGCAGGATCTGCTTACCCTTCCTGAGCACCTGAGATCACCCCCAGTTTTTGGTGGGGTTCGTGTTGCTTAGTCTTTAGTTTTCTGTGTTGTGTCATCTGTACTATTATTGTCTGTTTGTCTTTTTATTTTTGGCCATGGCGTTGTCAGTTTGTTTTCGATCTATGAGTTTGACTGTCCCTCTGGTATCTTTCGACCCTCTATGTTCTAAAGAAATGTACCACAAAATAACTGTGTTCTCGGGCTATTCCAATATAAAAACAAGAAGATGTGGTATGATTGCCAATAAGACAAATCTCCACAAGAGACCAAATGACGTAGAAGTCAACAACTATAGGTCACCGTACGGCCTTCAACAAGTTCGTAATAACATCTTTTTTACCACACGTTCCAAGGAAGTATAGATAAATGATAAATCATCCCATTTTACATTAACGCGAGGATTTATAGGTTTGCACAATTTGAAGTTCACATTTTACACGACAATCTTGTATCTTCAAAAGCTCAAGAGAAATTTAAATTACATAATCATTGATTTTCAAACAGTAAGCTAGGAGTATTTAGTTTATCTAAAGAAATATATATGGACAAGGTTATCTTGTACTGAAAAATGTTTTTAAAAATATTTTTTTTTATGTTATTATGAAACTTTTGTAATCTTCTTGTTGTCTGAAGCTTTCCGTGTATATTTTCAAAAGCGTACACCAAACGTTGTAATTGGTCATTCAAACAACGAATTAGAGTTATCTTCAATAACTGTCGAGTACGGAAAACGAAACGATAACCATAGTCCTTTAAAAAATGCAATGGCCAATTCAACAGGCTATTAGTTACTGGTCTGTTCTGTAAAAATTAGGAAAATTACTACAAATATTATGTAACTTTAAGATTACTATGCATCATTTTATGTATTATATTCTTAAGGTTGTCAAATACCTCAAAGCTCAAAATGAATTAAATACTGCAACGAGTGTCTGAATGGGGTTTACAGAATACAGAATAATGGACAAAAAATTCAAAACAAAGGGCAAAAGAAATTTAAAAAATAAGGTGAGAAATAGGCCAAAACATAAAGAATAGAGAATAATGAGGATTCTAAAATATACAGAATAGAGAAAATTAACCTAAAACATTAAAGAATACAGAAATGGAAATCGAAACACTCTGCTTAAAAGTTCTCCCCAACTTGAGCCTCAACTGACTCTACCTCTTTCGCTTGATTAATTGTTAATTTTTGTTTGCTTAATGTGCAGTGGCAAATATTTCATGCATATCCAGTACGACAAAAACTGCTTAAAAATATCTCATAACAATTTGCTTTAATTTTTATATACGATTGGTTATATAGAAGACTTGAATAAACTCTTATAAATGTTAATCTATGAGTAAAAGGAAAAGTAAGTAAAACGTCAACGACAGCCACCCAGCAACAATTACAAACATACACATACACACACAAACATCAAGGTCAATGTATGGTCTTTAACAATAGAATACACATCAAGACCATCTTCATTAGCCAAGGGTTACGATCCGATCCCCTCCTCTCCATGATGAGGCCTGATTGGAACATTAACTAGCAAAGTTGAGTCATGACAAGTTTTGAATAAATTTAAAAACTATATAACGTTTGCCACTATACGCAAAATTGTTTTAACGACGACAAAAATAACTAAAGACAAACACTGGTTATGTTCCTGACAGAGGATAGGTACATTTATGTATGATGCTTTTATAGCTAGTTGTTTTAGTACTCAAACCTCCTAAAACTTGATATGATAGACAAAGCTCTTTGCTCTTGTACATTACCAGATACGCTAAATCGCAGTTATTTTTATCTCAAATCAACACGTAATACTTATAATTATGTTAATCATCATGGTCTATTATTAGTTAACTACATGATCTATTCATAAAAACAAATTTAACGACAAATTTTATAAAAATGTATCGTCGTAAAATTTGAAATGAATCCAAACCATATAAAATAAATTATTTACAAAAATTCATTTTTCCAAAACAAAAAAAAAGTATCAAAAATAAAGATAACCACCGGAATACACTAAATGACAATGAATTAATTAGTGGGAAATACTATTTCAGAATTAATTATGTAGGTTGAAAAGTACGACCGAAAAAGTTAAACAGGTTTAAAAATCTATCATCGGAAAAACAGATTGTGACATCTCAAATCTTATTGAAATACAGACCATGTGCCCATGATTCACTTTCAAGCAAAGCGTGTACAAAGGATCTGACTTTCATCAGATTTACACATCTCTGACATCCGAGAGAAAATAACCAGTATTTCGATGCTTGGCCGTGGCAAAGTCGAACTTGATGATATTTCGAATGATCAACCTCATTCTCTTAATTGTTCTTGTTTCTTTTCCCAAATCCCTTTGTATTTTCCAAATCCCTTTGTATTTTCCAAATCCCTTGTATTATAAAAGGAAAGGATTAAGTCACTATAATGCACGGTAGGAAATATTTCAGGTTTGTGGCAGCACGAGTGTGAAACTCATTTTCAAATGAAACCCGAGTCATGACTTCATTTGATCAGTTACAACATTATATAAAAAGCTGGTGCGAGTGACAAAAATAAAAGTGTAATCCATTCCAAATCCAACTAGTGCTGCATCAAAGTTGATTTGTTTTGACTAAATTCAACATTTTGGTTTGTTTCTTGATTTTCTTTTTTGTTTGCTTAATTCAATTTTTGCTTGCTAATTGATTATTTTGCTGAGCTAATAACTATTTATCTGATTCTTTTCTAAACAGGGACCCAGTGTCCGTTGAAAGGGAAGACGTAATTGTCCTAAATGGTAAAAATAATAAAAGTACCCACTAAAATAAAACCTCCCAAAAACGATGCATAGTTTGTGCACAAGCGACCTTGACCACTTCTGATTTGTAAAGCCCTTTTAAACTCTAATCATATTTGTATTTTTGAGTTTCTACAACCCCAGTCGATACTAGGCTGGTACAGACTTAGTTCCGGGTAGAAATGTTTTATAATTTGCTTTCTGTGTTTGTTTCGATAAGATTCACGGTACCAAATTTACTGAACGAGATACTCATTGCGGCAATTAATGTCTTAAGGTTTTTCATTCTTTTTTGTTTGTTGTGTTGCAGTCTTAAATTACCGAAAAAATATACAAGTCTAATTTCAAAATTATACAGGTAAAGTATATAAATTGGTTATGTTGCCAATGAATTTCAAATATTTCTGAACTGATTTCTGCGTTATACAGACATTTATGTAGTGAACCGTCTTTTGTAATTTACTAGTACCTGTGCATACCAACATCATTTCTATTCCGAACAAACCATCAGAGCCAAATAGATTATGGATAGACAAATTCAAATGTATGCAATATAAACGTTTTACGTGTTGACATTATTTTCATAATGACTTACCTTTTTGAACACGTACAAGTGAGTAGCTCCTCCGCTCGCACAATTCTTTTAGAAATGAATAGTTGCTCTACTTAATAAACAATTTATAGGGGGGATGAATCATGACAAACTAGGAAATGACCCGCTTTAAATAGCTCATTTATTTATGAAAATCAATACTTATAAATATGAAGATTTCGTAATGTTTGTTTTAACCGGGAAAGCAATTTGTATTGTCACATGGTACATGACACTACCTGTTACATGATGTTACAAAGAAGGACAATCGTATGAAAATTATCAGATAAGTTTTTTTCTGTTTTCAATTATTTTATAGATATAATAACAATAATATTAATTATTGTTATTAATATTATTGTCATAATAATGATAATAATTAATTAT